ATTTAAGAGTATAAATATTTGTCTAGCAAACTTTATCTAGTAGTAAGTTAGCTGCATAACCTAAAATAAACAGCGATAACCTTAATGGTTTTCAAGCAACATCTCCAATTTAGATTTTCCATGTTGCTGGATTTTAATTTAGGACATTTTTGCATACAGGCAAGAGCCAATTTAGCATGCTATACATTTTTTAATAATTTTAACTTAACGTTTACGTACCGAGAGATAATTCTATGCGGTAAATCCGAAATTTAATTAGATTTACCTTTTCCATAGGAAAACTTCCTCACGGGTGTAGAAATCCTATAATTTACAAACTTTTCTACTTATGTGAAATAGAGGCCACATAGTCGGAACAGATAATTAATAGTGAATCATAAAACTAAGTAAATTAGTTACTAAGTCTTTTTAATCTTTAGTTTGTGGTGAATATAATCGTTAAGTGTGCCGAGCAAAAGTAATTATAACTTCGGGACTTTCGTTTCAATAAGTTCATCATCATTGTTGAACTTCTTCGCAAATATGAATAAAGATGGCCCGCTTTTGTAACTTTCGTTTAAATTTCATATTTTTTCTTCTTCAAGTTACATTTATATTCACTAACCTCGCATTTTAAGTATGTTTAGAAGTTTGTTATTATTCATCTAATTAGAAATGCAATTATTAAGATTTTAGTTACCAAATTTAAGTTATTGGATCACTCTTTTGGAAGTAACTAAAATGCAAAGCAACTTAATCGTTTTATGGTCGTCTGTAAAATTTTAAGGCATGGCATGTCCGGTTTTTCTTTATATTTATAGCTTTACTTATAACAAGCTAATTATATAATTATGTCCACAAATATTGGAAGACCTACTTCCACCCAACCAAATGAGCTGAAATTTGCGCGTTTGGTGTTGGTGACTATACAATATAGTTTACTCAAAATATAATAAGTAGTTTACTCAATATAATAATTTACTCAATATAATTGTAGTTTACTCAATATAATAATTTATTAAAAATGGCGGCTCAAAGATGGCGGATTAGGTTTTTCTTTACAACCCTTGTTTAAAGAGTGGAAAACGATAAAGTAAGTGACTTCTAAATCTAATATGGCTGATGCTTCAAGATGACGAATTACCTATTTCTTTCAACCTCCTTGATATGGATATCAAATGAGAAGGTTGGTTTGGTGAGTAGAAAAGGGTGGAAAAGGTGAGACGTCATACTAAATCTAATACGTGAATAAGTTTCCACATATTATTTTTTTTTATTATGGCGTATGAACCAAGACGTAATATAAGTTTATTATTTATGAAATAATATAATATTATAACAAATATTATATAATTAATTTTGTAGTAAAATAACTTAAAAATAATTCTAAACAATAATAAAATAACTTAAACATTTTTTTTTAATTAAATTGTATTCTTAAAAATGGGGTAAACCTAATGTTCTATTAGAATTAAGAAAAAGCGAAGGTAAATAAATATTGTCTGATTTTTATTTGTGCGTTAACTTCACTATGCTTCGCTCAAGTATACATAAATACTTACTCGTAAATATTGATTTTTTTCTCGTTATTTGTCAAAAGGCAGCGAAAGTCGAATTTTTTGCGCTTGTCATAAAATATTGTACATATCTCGGGGCGAAATGCGGCGATTTCGTGCTTCGCTCGTGCACATTCTTTAGTAATCGACACCTTTTACCACTCAATATGTAATGATAATTTTCAAATTTTTAAAAATACAATATTTACTTAATTATTAAAATCTTAAAATTACAAATTTTCCAAAAAAATATCAGATTTTCTAAAACCTATAACTGTATTTCTTATTTGGAAATCATATTTATTCTACTTGGCATGGGTTTGTCAAGTAAAATACATTTTAATTTTAATATGTCGGATGTAACCTACAAATTAATCAACTAAAGTAGTAGTAGTAGTAGTAGACTTAAAAGTGTAGTTATAATAGTTTAAACATTTAAAAACAGTCTTTAATGAACAAAAAAGTATAAAATAATGTAATTTATGTAAAAATATTGTTATTTCCTAATGTTCAATTACTATATCAAAAAGAGTGGGGAGCTTTATCGGAATTAATTAAAAGTAAATACTTCTTAAAGAAACTTGACCAAAAAGTGTCCCACCACGTTTTTAAATATCAAAAAATATTTAAAGAAATTTACATTATTTTATACATTTTAGTGGCTAAATTAAAGCGTAGTTTTAGTTTTTTAAACTTATATTTATTTAAATTAAATTCCACTAAATATGACAAATAGGTTTGTCCAACTTTTTAAGTTAAATAAAACGATTAAGGCAAATATTAATGTTGCAATTTTGACATTAAAAATGTCTCATGGTCCGAAGCCCCTAATTTTTGTCACAAAAAGCATTACCGTTACCTTTTCTTTAGAGTAAATAAAATAAGGAAAAACCTTAGAGCATAAAATATAGGGATCTTAGAGTATGTAAAACCGGAATAAACCTTAGAGAATACCATAAATAAAATTTTGGGAAATCCGTCTAAAAACATGTGCAAAATATTATTTCATAATATTGATTAAATTATATGATATTAAAATTAAAATTAAAATAAATTGGCCACCATGAACAGTTCAAAATATGAAATTCTTATATATGGGAAGACTAAATATTATTAATTATTCACAAATTAAAAAAAACGTTTACATTGATAATAAAATTATACAAGTTTTAAGAGATTTTTTTTTCGTAATAACATTTGTAGATACAACTTTTTAACCAAGTTAGTTAGCAACAGAGCTAACCGAATACATACATATATCAAAAATTTTAAATAATAGAGAAAATGTTCATTTAATTTAAAGTGTAAAACGTAAAATACACCACGGTAGTAATATATATTCAGCGACATCAAAGTCCTATCACCATGCAAATTTTAATGAAACTATGTAGCTTATACCTCAATTAATATAACGGCATTTTAAAGTTAGTTTCGAATGTCGTTCTACAGCGGTAATGAAATTATTTTAAATTAAGTATCATTAGAATTTAATTAAATTTTCCGCATCTTTCGGGCGTCGGCTTTTTTCATTAGCGCTAGGTAATTATGAATCGTTATTTTCATTTCATTAAGGATATTGTTATTAGAATATCATTTTCCGATTTAAAGCTAATTAGCCACGCTATGGCTCTTCCGCAGTCCTTCGTATTTCGCGTTTGCTTTACTCTTGTATACATTATTATTTCAATGCTCAAGACCTATTTTATTTCTTTTTTAGTTCCAAATAAGTATGGAACGAAACTCGAGAACTGGCTGGTTTTAAACTTTTATTTATTTTTGGATTATATAATTATGTTTTTTTATAAATTGAAGAGAAATTCTAAAATAAATATTTAAACATATTTTTAGCAACAACCAATTAAAAAAACTAATAAAATTTATTATTTGGGTGTACAAAAAACATTAATTTACTTATCTACAAAAAGTTTGTTGATCCAAAAAAGCAACTACCGCCCGTATGTGTGGCATTTAATCGATTGGTTTTATCCTTCTAATTACTTGGAACAAACGCTTTAAATGTTATTCAAGATTACACGTCTGGACGTTTTTAACCTTATCTAGTTGAACTATATATTTCGGTTGACCTACTTTACTGACTGACTGATTAATGTGGTTTAAAAATGATCAGAATATTTTATTATAGCACAAAATAGAACAAAGAACATTTTATAACTTTTTAAAAATATAATTAACACTATACTGGGTATACAAATATTAACAATATTAGGTATTTAAGGTAAATCATTTTTGGTACTTTTTAAATTTTGGTTTTATAGATAAAATGTGGTTTATCGTATTAAAAAGCGTAAGTGATTATATTCATAGTTTGAACATGCATTTTTTTAGAAGATACCGAATATTTTACAAAATATATTTATTTTTCATAGTAACTTATTTTGTTCTAATAAAAGTTTAATTGCAAAAATAAGTTTTTTAGCTAAAAAAAATTAAGTATGAGCAATATCTCGCGCTTTTTTTACTCCAATTAAGTAATTTTCATGAATAATAAAATCACAAGTTTTAACCTCAAATTTTCCCAATTTAAAACCCGATTGGTTCAAATCGCCTAAAAACGTGAATAATGAGTTCATTAAGGTAGTTGTCGTGCTGTAAGCATACCATCAGAAAATTTTAAATTTTTGTATACTTATTAAGGACATGACAATACAATTATCCTTAAAATTTGAAGTCGATTGACCGTCTATAAACCGAGATAAATTCAATTAAAAATTGGATAATTAACATGGATTTTATACGCTTTATGTAGTTCTGTACCAGTTCCTTAGTTATAAAAAAACTAACTGTCAGAAGCTTTAAAAAAACTAACAGTCTTTTAATGTATTTTTGCTGAGTTTAAAAAAAAATAATTAAAAATTTTTGACCGTCCAATTGTTTATAAATAACCGTTTAAAGTTCAACAATTTGTAAAAAGTATACATCACTAGTGTCAGATAAAAACAACTTGGCAACGCTGTACGCGAGTATAGATATTATTTCCGCAGTAAATTCAAACACACTGATTCAGTCTCCAATATATCTATTGGTTGAGCATAAGCGACGTTGCCGGATTAAAACTTATGAAAATATTTGAAAGTATTACGTAAAGGTAACGTCTCCAGGGTACAGTCTTGCGAAAAAATTATGAATCACTTAGCTACAAGCTCATATACTTTTACGGTGCGTATAATCTAAAATTTGTTGACAATATTGTACCATGACAACTACCTTAATTTAATTATTTTTAGATAATCATAAGTATAGACAGTCATAGTCATAGAAAAAGTGTAGTATGCAATTCGTTTATAAACTTTATTAAAATGGCCTTAATTAAACTTGACACATAATATACTATTATGTTAAAATGTTATATAATAGTTTATATTTTAAATATTAGATAGAATTACAAATTAGTTGTGTTTAGAATTATGTCAAACTGAAAGTTAATAATTAAATTTATTGTTTCAGGAGCTCCAAATTTCCCGTCGAGCAGCGATGGTCTCGTACCGGAGGGAAAACCGCCTTCATTTGTTACTCCCGGTCAGAAGTATAGGATTGCCACCGGAAGTACCGTAGTTTTGCCCTGCAGGATTACTCAGCCAGGTAAGCAAATAAATTACGCCGCGTTTTCCTGCTGAGCGCGTCATAAGTTGTTTGGACATAAATCGTCAAAACTCAAATGTCGAAATGTGGATTTTTTTGTTTAAAATAAATTAAAAATAAACATAAATCAAATAAGATGTTATTTAAAATATAATTAATTTTAATAAAAAATATTTGTTTTTCGATTTTAGAAATTAATATGTTCTCTATTCAGAAAATATGATATACCTTTAGGTATATGAATAAATGGATAAAATTATTTGCTAAAGGCAAAAATTTAAAATAATATCGAAATATCGTAATAAAACACAATATTTGTTGTTTTACTGCGTCATTTGAAATAAATACAGTTGTTTTGATGCAAATGCCATTTTAATTTATTTCATTTAGTTTACAGAAAAAAATATATAGAAAAATATAAAACAAAAAACATTATTGTAAACTTTTAACAAATTGTATTAAAATTTAAAACTTTGTTTGGAAAATTCGTATTTTTTTATTTAACCGATAATCATTGATTATGTTATATTCCTTTTCAACAACTTTTTTAAAGCATTTTCCATCTCTTAAGCTTTTTTAAGGCTTTCAAACGTCTAGCTTTTTTGAGCTCTGAGAAAATTTTTTACTTACTTATAATTACTTTTAAGCTTTTTACTTTTTTTGATAATTGTTATTATTTAAAAAAAAAATTTTAGAAACCTTCAAACAGTTTCTTTTACAAATTTATGCCACTGGGCAAATTTTGTTTCTAATCTCTTCATCTTGCGTAACGCCAAATTTCCGTTTGCCCCGCCTGCTTGAAAAACCAAAATTTAAAAAAAGTAAAAATTGTCCCCTTTTGGTCCCTTTTCCGTCCCGTTACAAAACTTAAGACACCTTCATAAAATCCGTCAAATAGATTTAAAAAATGGCGAATGCGCCGGGATTAAAACTGAATTTTAATAATAATAATATATAATATTCATTTTTATTTACCTCAATGCCACATGGTTTACAAAAATAAAATGTATATAAAAGTTATGAATAAATAATAAAGAAATAACAAATTTAAAATTTAAAATTGGGACATTACATAGTTTCTAAGCAATTTCTTAAACTTTTGTACAAGTTTTTAAATGATTTGACATTTGATTAAATTTGTGTAGACCTTTAACATAGTGTTTCGTGATTGATTTGTTGAATATTTATTGGTCAATATAAAGTTATTTTCATTTCTATGTAATCAGGCACCATCTTATTTTTTTATCTTAAATAAAAAAGCAAACACATCAAACATAACTTTTTTGATTATCAGAAAACAAATATAATACTTCTAACCTAATTTAAATAATACATTTAGAATTCGACCATTTATTTACCTTAACACATTAAAATTGATTTCACAAATAAAATTTAGCTTTAATACATTACTTTTAAAACCCATGGGTTTTAATTAATCTATAAGCTGGAATGTATGCATACATTCCAGCTTATAGATTAATTTTTCACGATTTACAGTCTCAAATGCTCTCGCTATCACACAATTATCACAGTCAATTGCTCTAATAAACACCGTCTCTCATTTTGTTTTAACAATTTCCTGAGCTTTCTTTAAGGTTGTGCGCGACCCCTGGGATACCCTGTATAATTATTTATTAATAAAATTAATAAAATAGTATTTTTAAAGTACCTGTTTAAATTAAGTATATGTTTAAATTAAGTATCCTATGCTGAGTTATTTCAGCTTAAATATTAACCCATCAATTTTTGATTTTTTCTGTTTAAAAAACTGTTATTATTTTAAAACTATGTATTTTAAAATAAACCAGGAAGAACATATACAACATCAATAAAATCGTATTTTTTTAAAGATTCAAACAAAGTCCAATATTTAATTAATTGTATTAACTTTTACAAAATCTAATATAAGTTAAAGGGTATTTTTCTATAATAAATAAAAAAAAAGAAAAATATGTTAAAATGCTAAAAAATATTTCACACATTCTTTGGAAAATTTAAAATTAATAAATTAACAATTTTTACATTAGTATAACTTCAGAATTAGATTTTAGAGACATTTAATTTGTTTAATTTAAATATTTAAAATATTATTCCACTCAAAAAATCAAAACAATTCGATTCCAGTTTTCCTTGGTCATCGGTGTAGAATTCTGCTGCCTAATCCACGCGGCCCAGGCCTGTAGCCAGACTGATTTTGTTGGAAATGCGCAGCACCCACGCATTTTTGAAAAATTGACCATAAATGAGTAAAATTACCGAAATTGACTAAAAATTACTTAAATAACTAAAAATTAATACATATTGACAACAGTCGACACTTCCAGTAAATGCGTTAATTGATGGATGACTAAACAAGATCTACCATAGCTGGTTAAGCATTCTTGGCGTATATCTTTCCCATAAAATTTTTGTAATATTTAAAGCATAAAAAATTACTATAAATTAATGTAAATTTTAATTTTAATAGCAAAGTTATCTTTTTATTATTTAAAACAGTCCTGGCCAACCCAAATGACTTTTATGACGCGTTACGTTACAGCAGGCCGCACTTTAGGTAAGGGTCCGTCCATAAATCTCGTGACGCAGGTAGGAGGAGGGAGGGTTTGAAGGACCGTCACGATTTGTCACGTGGCAAAGTAAATCGAATGGCATTGCTTTTTTGTTCCATTTTTAGTCAGATTATTACAAAAAAATATCGAAAACAGTATTTTAAGGGGGTACAACGAGAAACCAGTTTCAATAAATAAATAAATAAAATCACACGGCGGGCCACAAAATTTAACATGGCCTGATTTAAAATAAAATTGTAAAAATAGAATTTTATGCAGTATGAGCCGAATTACTATAAATTGTAGAAAATAGTACATTATTAGAGATGGGATTTTAGTGTTATTACCTATTTGTCCACGCTAATCATAACTTTAGGTGCAATGGAATAAAATACGTTTAAAAGAAAATGATTTCATTTGAGACTGATTTTATTTTACCTATTTTACCCAAATTTTTACCATCAAAAACATGCTTTTTTGTAATATTGGGGTTGCCGTATTTAGATGACATAATTCTGCAGCATGTAGTTATTTTTGTTGTACAGGATTGGTAATGTAGGCGCAGGAACGGTTTTAAGTTGGGGGGGTGGCGCAACCGACTACCATCCTTATTGTTTAGCACTAAATGGGTGAAAATAATAAAGGCCATTCTTGCATATTACCGTAAGAATTACAAGGGTAATATGCGATTTCTTGTCTTATTAGCAATAAAATTCGTTATTACGTTAATAAAGCCTAAGCTCATTATTTTAGCACATGATACAAACGATTTTAGCATTTCATCGTAATTAAGAATAACAAAGACGGTACATGACTTGTCTTATTGGTAGATTTTTTCAAAGAATCTCGAGGGTACATTTTATATCGAGTAACCCCCCTCTCCCCCTTATCAAAATGTCAAATTGTATTGTTTAATTAAACAACAAATATTAGTCAAATTAACAAAATATGAATATTTGTTTAAATCTGCCAATCTGGTTAATTAAACATTCTTGAAATGTCCAGGTAACCTTTTTAGCATATTCACTTAACACCAATAAAAATTAAAATAATTTGCGCTAATGTTGGGTTAATTGGGTTGGGTTAACATTATGAAAATGTAAAAGGAAAATTCTTTAAAGGTTGGTATTCAACAAAAAAATTATGGAATTAATATGAAGAGAAAGAATTGAACCTTCCCTCGCCAGAGTTTTTGTTTTGAGTGCGTTCCACCTACTTCAACTTGAAGGTATTTGAAGACCTCAAATACCTACCGAAAGAGTATGTAGGACAGACAGCTGATTCGACCTATATTGTGGGTCTTATCAGTGTCGGGCAATTTGGTGTAGTGGAAGTTCCACTGTGGAACACATCTAAAATAAACGGCTACCTGAGCTTATATACTCCTATCGTAAGCCAACTGAGGCGAGACGTAAGAACATCACGTGATCAACACCGTCTAATGACGTTGCGTGGGAATGCAAAATTAACAAATTTTAAAGTAACATTTACAATTTGTTAAATGAACAAATTTAATGTTTTGGATTTAAAGAGCAACTAAACGTTAATTTAATAGTTTTTTTATGTAATCCTAAAAAATTCAGTATTTGATTCAACCAATTCCAGCTATTAAATCAAAATAGGATAAACATTTTAATTCAAAAAATTAGTCTATGTTAAATCAATATTTTAACTGTCAAATGAACAAATAAACTTTGACAAGCTCTGACTATTGCTTTGACACCAAAATATAGATTTTAATCTGTCCAATAGGTTTTTTGATTAAACAAAATTTTCAAAAATGACATTTAGGCAAACGTTAACTCAACTACATTATTTTTTTCGGGAGTAATTACACAAGTGCTTAAAAATTATCGATAATTTTGCTTGAAAGCATATTGCCTAAAAATGCATGAGTTCATTTTCATATTTTGGAAAGAGCCCGACACCGAAGGTGGAGGGCCCTTTCCTCAAAAGGCAATATGCTTGAATGCAAAATTATCTAAATATTTTTATGCACGAGTGTAATTTGTTTAGATAATTACACGAAAAAACTAATTAAATCAAAGAATAACATTTTCATTTTAATTTTAACACAAAACTTCATTTAACATTATTATACCAAAACGTGACAATTAAAATAACTGTCACATTAAAATAAAAACGTTATTTTTAATAATTGCCATGGATGCGTAGATACAATGGAATTATCGATTCCTAGTAGACAATTATCGCTGTAATCAAGCGATAATTATCTTGTAGGCATATATAAGAGGGTAATTATCGGTGTAAGTACCTACTATAAAATTTTCTGAAAACAAACGTTTGTCGACACGATCGTGACATATCACTTTTAGAAATCCTACTACGTAGTAAGTACTAGGTGGATATCTTTTTTCCTCAACTTTCCTAGAATATAATGTAAAACAACTTCGGGCCAATGCGGATTTCCAATATCGGTTATTTAATGTCAAACAACTTCTGGCCAATATTGGACCATGCTAGAAAAAATCTGACGAAAGATATATTGGCCCAATATTATTACGAATATTGGGCCAATATCTTTGTGCTACTGGGGTTGGTTGGGAGTGGTTGGTACTGGGAATCGCGAACAGCGACGCGAATGTGACATTTCCAATTAATCTCATGTTATCATTTTTTATTTAAAATCTCATGTATTTTCACAAATTCTAGCAAATTTGTGCTTTTTTATGAGAAAGTATTTTTTAAAACATTTCTATCATAATGAATGAGAATTTGTTAATTTCAGCAATTGTATGCTTATTAACGAGGAGGATTTTAGAAAATTACAATATTTTTAATCACACTTTGCCTTAAAATCCTATTTCTCTACGACTACTTAAGAATAGTAACATTCTAGTGTAATTTTATATCATAGAAAGGATGTTTTTCTGCAATACTGTGCGAGAATATTCCTACTCTTGTTTAAGAATGGTCACAAGTAACGACATCTCCTGGCTGTTTACTAAACGTAAAAAATTTAAAAATATTTAAATATTACTGTATTATTTATTAATTAAAAAATAATAGCAGTTGTATAATTAAGGTTTAGGCACAAAAAATTAGTTATATTTATTGTTTTTCAAATATACAAATCAAAATTATAATAAATTTGATATTAAAATGATAAACCAGTTACCTACTATACCGGCTTTGAAGTTTTGACAGATTCAAAAAGTTTAAAAAAAGACCTCTAAAATGTAGAAAAAGAATAGATGTTGACATAGATTACTTGTAAAATTAGTTTTGTATTTGTTACAATGTTATTTTTTTAATTAGTTAGTGTAAATAACTATTTTTAATTATAATAAAGATTTAGGCATACCATTGGTTTAAATTTATTATAATTTACATTATAAAATTGTGACGGCACAAAATGGTTTGACAATACAAAAAACTTAAATGTCAAAAACTGCTTGGTTTCTTTTCTCTGTTTAAAATTATATAAGCGTTACTATTCTTACGTAGTCGTAGAGAAAATAATGTCCGAAACACGTTTGGAATAGCATATTCCACTCTCGTAAAACCGTCACACTCGCCTTCGGCTCGTGTGTCAAATTTTTCCTCGAGCGGAATATGCTGTATTCCAAACTTGTTACAGAATGTACTATTCTTTAATTAAACAACTCTTTACCACTTAATAAATATGAAAAAAATCATACTTCTTTTGTAAAAATAAGTTATATTGACTAGGTTTTTAGCCAAATGGCTCGAGTTTTTTTTTAATAAAATTAAAAGTGAGGTAAAATTACTCCTTTTGAATATATCTGAGAAACATATATATAGAAGTATAAATTTCACCACACTTTTAATTTTATTTAAAAAAATGCGTCGATAGATTTAGTTAAAAAACTATGCCAAAATCAAATGATGTTATATTTATATTTTAAGAAATAATATGTTAACCGTTTAGTTAATAACTAAAAGTAATTAAATCGGTAAGATTAAGAATAGTACAAGTCCAAAAGTAATATTTTTTATAAAATCAGTTTTATAGTTCTAAATGCATTTTTGTTAGAATATTTTAACTATTTTATAAAATATAATATTCATATTCTATAAAATAATTTTTATCTTCTTTTAAAAATGTATTTTAAACTTTAAAATTGATTTTAGAAAATAAATTGCCAAAATTAAATTTTTGGACTTGTACTGTTCTTATTCTCACCGATTCAATTGTAATGTGGATCTTAATACTTAAAAATCTCATAACAAAATATGATGTTTTCAAAATACAGCAAAACATTCTTTAGATTGTTTACTATTTTAGCTGTCATTTACAAGAAAATTAAAAATCCTTTTGTTTGATATATAACACGGTATATTTTTGTCCAAAACAAACGAAATATGGCTAAAAATGACATTTTTGTAGAAGTTTTTTTTGTTGTTTTTTAAGAAAAATTTTGGTTGTGATATTATATCATTTTAAAAAGAATTTAATAAAATAGAACCTAAAAATATATATTTTTAAATTACTTTTTAAAAAAGAATTTTTTTAGCACTACTTTAATTAAACGAAGTCAGGTTGGCCTATTTAAATTTAATTTTTAGAATTTTAGGAGTTTTAGGAGATTGAATGCAATTTTAGGAGAATTTTAGGAGTTTTCAAGATTTAAGCAAAATTTTAGGAGGTGTGGGAGCCCTGAAACTATAACTTAAATTCGGGCACGGACTCCAAACATTTCCTTTCCTTTCACTGTGAAAAACTGTCAATTTTCAAGATACATTTCGATTTATAACCTTTATAATTGTGTTTATAAAATGTAAAAATGTGAATCTGAATGTGACATTTGACAGTTTCCCCTGTTGTTTCATAGATGGCGCTCTATACAAATTTTTGATTTAAATCATTTTAAGATAATAATAAGTATTTGTCGTAGAAAAATTATAGTATGCACCTCGTTTATAAACTTTTCTATATACTCATTAACTTAAGCACTCGCTCGCAAGCTAGCTCGTGCCTAAATTAAATTCGTGTATAAAATGGCGTTTATCAAACTTGATACATAATAAGTTATTAATAACACTTTGCCTTAAAAACCTATTGATAGACATTTTAAAACATTCCATTCATTCCTTTTTTCAGGAAGCTACGTGTTGGTGTGGAAACGAGGCATAGCAGTGCTGACCGCCGGCCCAGTAAAGGTGACCCCGGACCCGCGGGTTCGCCTGCTGCCGTCTCCGGTCAGCACGTCGAGCATTCCGGGCATTCCGGAACTTTCCGGCGGTGGAGGATACAGTCTGGAGTTGAAGGATGTTAAACCTCAAGACGCTGGTGACTACGTATGCCAGATCGGCACAATGGACCCCATCGAGATCACGCATACACTTGAGATATTAGGTGAGATACAACGAAAATAAAATCGCAAAATTTGTATTTTATGCCAATTGTTTTTTTTTTTAATTAACCAACGAAATTTAGCCAACGAATTAAAAGTTAATCCTAGCCTATCTGGCATATCCCATTTAGATAAAAGATGACAAGTTGTCTTTGATTTTTTGTATAGACACCAAAAAAAAAATATATGGAAAACATTATAAATTACACTGTGTACAACAAAAACATAGGGGGGTTGAGACCAGAAAAAATGGATACAGAATTATATATTTATTAGTATACGATATTTTTTTATATTGGCTTTTAAATTTTACTTTTTACTATTATCTTTTTAATTTAAAAATATAAAAAAATGTCATATAAAAAACTACCATAAAAGTGAATTTTTTATATGCCAAACATCTATAAGTTTTTTAATTTAAAAAATTCGATAATTTTTGGCCATTCTACTACTATACGAGAGCAAATTGATAAACCCTGTTTATTGATAAGTAAGGTTTTAATTTCATATTTACCTATGAAAACTCAAGGGATGGGATTTTAGTTATTTTACCTTTTTTCAACCGATGTAACTATTTTCTTTTATACGAACCTAACTTGTTTTCACCTTTTTTACCTTTTTTGGAGGTTTTTGCTTTAAACTGCCTTTTTATACTTTTGTTCCATATTTTTTAATTTGTCAGTTTATTTTCACCTATTTGTTACCTATTTTTACGTATTTTTACTTATTTTATTTTTTTGTGTTCTTTTTAAATTTTGCTCCAACGGTATAGAATTTTTTCTTATGGTCACAGACTGTAGCAGTAACTTTCTTTACAGTTACCTTCCTTGTAGTGAGCTTATGTTCTGTCATAGAACTTCTGTGTAGTGAGTGTCACTCACTGAAACACAGTTTATTGCATAGAAATAGTTTATTGTGGGTATGTTCTGTGTTTGGGTATGCGGCTAAACAAAATTATAAACGAAACTTGAACTTTTAATGTTTTTTTTTTACCAAAAATGCTGTTTTTTTTAACCTAAAATGCTTTTTTTAGTACCTTTTTAGTAACCTATTTTTCAGTTTTTAGTACCTAAATATCCCATCTTTACTTATCAATTTATTCAAACAATTTGCTTCTAACAATTAGGGTTGGGAAAATTTCACTTTTTGCTTGAACTTGAAATTTCACTTGAAATTTTCATGACATTTATGAAATTTATTAAAATTTCCTAAATTTCTGAAATTTCATGAAATTTATTGAATCTTTCAATAAATTTCAATCACTTCAAGTGTAATATATTATATATATATTGAAATATGCCCACTCGGGGACCATGGCAAATTGCCTCTCTTACCTCCTACCCCTGTGGGCCCCTGACCACCAATAATATAAATAGTAAATACCTATGGTTATCACAAATTTCTTAAGATTTATTTTTAAAATTACTAAAACTAAGAGAGATGTAGCACCATTTGGTAAGCTAACGAGATTGTGCCACTTTCATTGTTTTATATTTATATATATTTATTATTTTTATATATTTCAGAAACTTTTGCTATAATTGAATCGAAAAACGTCTAAATTAATCATGACTTTTCAAAATTTTTTAAAGTCTGATTTAATTTACAAATTAAATTGGTAACTGAATTAAATTATTTAAATTAATTTATGCATATAAGTAACAATCATTACTTATAGTGTATTCAAATCCAAGCCGAACTAAACAAAATCGCCCAGACGCTTGATAACTCGTTCTTATTGGTCGATTCGGAATCTATTGTAAATTATTATTAAAGGTCCCAGGGGAGGCTGCATGTGAAATTTATGCGAAATTTTCAGTAAATTGCGAAACTTTCAATGAAACTTCTGAAAGTTTCACAGGCAATGTTGAAATTTTCGGATTGAAAATTTCATTTGAAATTTTTAAAAATTTCACTTTTCCAACTAAATGAAATATTTCAATTTTGAAACTTTCAAAGTTGAAATTTTCATTTGAATGCAACAATGCAAAATATATCGGTCCGCTTGTTGTAGATTATTTCTTTCGAACAAATTGATAATGAATAGAGAAAAAACAATTTTTTACAAATTTTACGGTTTTTTGAGGTTAGCTAAATCCGACAGCAGATTCGGATTCAGCGAGGGTCAATGCATATAGTCATACTTTTTTGTGTGCCTAATTATAATAATTATATATACTTGGCACATTGACAAGAACCATCCTTTAAAGTTTAAACGATTACCGCAAAAATTTTAGATAAATCTGTAAAAAACTTTAAATTTTGTCGAGCAACCTTTGAATTTGTGTCGTGTTATTTAGTCCTGCTTTGTCGTGTTATTTAGTCCTGCTTTTTGATGGATAAAAAATAGGGTTTAAGCAAAATAGTGGCTCCAAAGTCATATGCACCAGCGTATTCCACAATCAAGGTTTGCCAAATTTCGGGGTGAATGAGTGAGATTATTAAGACGGTAGGCATCTTGATTAGATTACCTGGACATTTATTTACATATTAAAAATGTCCTCATTTGGCCAGCAAAAAATATGTTTAACAAAGACAATTCGTCACCTACCAAAGCTACTTTTTATTAAAAAAATCAATTATCAAGGCCGAAACTTACGAAAATACGAAATCCTCTATATTCTCCGGATTTTCAAAATAAAAAAGTTATACGCAGGTTTTGACATATAAAAAAAAACATTTACACGAAGAATGTTCTAATTTAAAATTTTTATATTTTAAAATAATTAAAATTAAAAATATAATATTTTGAAATAAATAGTCCATTGTAGCAAATATCATTTTTTTCTGGCTAATCTTTTTATTAAATTTTGTCGCACAATGATATTTAAAAAACATGTAGTCAAACAAAAAAAATAATGAAATATATTAAACCCCTAGGAATTTTTAAATTAACGTAAACCATTTTATTAATGCTCTTTTACGCCGTAAGTCTAAAAACCTGTCGAGTAACTTTATGCAAACTTTACGATTATAAAAATTATAATTTACGAAAGTTTTAAGCCAACATTATCCCTCTAGAGTAATAAAACCTACACTTTTGCCAACCTACGAAAAAAACAACAACCACTACTTAAATTATTGTTTCTTTATTTAGGATGCTTTAATTATTTTATCAAGGTTACTACGTTTTCTGTATAAAAGTTTGGCCTCGGGATAAAATAATTATTAATTAAACACATTATGCACTGTAATGTGTATGGGAGGAAAATAAAATGAAAAAAATAAATATAGAATATAAAAGAAATTTCGTGTTGTCTGTTTATTCAATATATCGGATTTTTTTAAGGGTTTCTTTTAAACAACATTAAAAAACATTTCCACACATCTATTTTGTGTTTATTTTTGCCTCCAGTAGATAAATCTTTAGAAAAAAAATATATATAGAGGTGAATTTTGCTTGCTTAATAATTTTATATTATCCCTTCTAGGCGCGCGGTAAAAAACTCGGTATCAAAATAAGGGTCATTGTAGTTTTACAAAATATATTTAGTAGATAATATAGTATACTATATTATCTACTAAATAAACTTTGTTATGTTATCAAATCAATTTTGATGTCAAAATCGTACATACTTAATATAGAGTGGACCATGGTATACATTAGACAATGTGTACACTGTAAAATTCTATGAAAGTAAAATAAGCTTTATATTAAAATTATTATATTTAATGTTTTGTAAAACCAAAAAAAAATAAACAATTACTAATTATTATAGGAATTCTGATAAAATGAAATAAAAAAATTATTATTTTTACTTAATTTTAACTTAAAATACAAAAAATTCAAACACAGTAAAAAAAGAGTCCATCTTTTAATCGATCTATAATTTAAAATTAATTGTTGTCAACAATCGCTACTTAAGTAATTGATTATAGCCTGGGCCATTCAAAATAATTTAGACCGTCCGAATGTTATTTATGACCTGGGCCATGAAAAAATAGTATTTACTACTTTGGAACAATCAGTTGACTTCTGTCAGATCTATCTAACCTTACTTTGTACTGTTAATAATTATTATTATAATTGTACGTTTTATGTACCATTCAACAAATAAGATACAATGGTGTATGCCATTAAGTCTTTTGGAGCTTTGCTCAATCGGTACTATCTAAAAATGAAATAGACAAAATTCTACTATTTGAATTAGTACCAGCATTTTTTAGTTAATAGTTAAAGTTTGACTAATTTAACATTAGTCACGATCTTTGATTATTTCTGAGAGTTAAAAGTAACTAATTTCTTTAATCGTTTGCGGCCAACAACAAAGTAATATTTGAATTAAATGCAAATACCTAAGCTCCATGGTTAAATAACCCATAAAAACAAATAAAGATGCAAAAGTTTAGCTAAAAACAGCAACACAAATAATATATTTAACTTTAAAATATTATGAACAATATTTATTGACAAATAAAATTTATTTTTATAAGAGCGGCTGATAGCCGAATGGGTTATGACAACAGCATGACAAGCTTGACAAGTGACAGACCTGAGTTCAATCCCTGGGCTGGGTCAAAACTTTTTTTAAATGTAAATCTACTAATTTGACTATTTCAGTCAGTAGAATTTGACTAATTATTAGTGACTGCTTTTTCGCTATGAAAATTAGTCAAATATGACAAATTATTTTTAAGAGAGTAAGCCTCGGCATAAAAATACTCACTTCTTGACCTCATGACACAACTAATTATTTTTAAAAATTTTAATTTTTCTTTTAACTTAACAACAGGATGTTTATTTAATGAAGGGATTGATGAATAAAGGTGCTAATAAAGGTTATTTAAATAATTATTAGTCAAAAATAAGTATAAGTTATATTTGACTAAATCATGGTCATAGCAAAAAAGCACTAAATTTTACTAATAAAATAGTCAAATTAGTAGATTTAAATTTAAAAAAGTATTGAACCAGCCAGGGTTTGAACTCGGGCCTTTCTCTTGTCTCTTGTCAAGCGGATGTCAAACCAGTGCTCTACTGTCACTTTTATAAAAATTAGTTATATTTGAGGCCTGTCATAGCAAAACCGACAATCTCCACTTTTGGTCAAAAATTAGATTTTTGGCGGCGACTGTGCTTCAACTAATTATATATAAGATGATAAAGTTTATGTGCTGCAAAAGGAGCTAAATCCTGCCTAAAATCCTATTTTAAAAATGACATTTAGTGCAAAGTCGACAATTTCCACTGATAGATTTGCAGCAAAGTATACAATCTCCAATTCCACCATTAGAAATTAGTAATATGTGTCACCTGATATCCTAACATTTGATGTTATAACGTATTTTAGAGATTTAATTTTATGTTTTTTTACTGGTACATATTGTTAAGTTCTATTGCAGTAAATTGCAATTAAAAATATATTTAATATAGGTATATATACGTTTTATTATTTTAAGAATTATAAAAAAAGTTATCTTGTTTATACTATTTCATTTTTAGTTGTACTATAAAAACTTTTTTGCACGAGGCAACCTGGTCCCAGATTTAGAAGAAACTCCAGATTTATGCGGTCCAGTTCAGAATTTTCCCACATTGATTGTATAGTTGAATTATATAACCATTAAAGGAAAAAAATACAATTATTTATTTGTTTATTTTTCTAAATCTCCTAAAACGTTTACAACAAAATGAGCAATCTCCAGCAATTCATATCAAAGTCAGTAATCTCCAATTTATAATTATAGATTTCACCTATACTATGCATCCTGGAGAACTTGTAGTTTGCTACTAGACTAACAAAAACAATATTTCAATATAATATATAAAAAAATTACAAATCTAGAATTTAAAATACCAAAATCAATTATCTCAATTTACTCAGTTTTAGTCTGACGGGAGATTGTTGACTTTGCTTTGACAGGCCTCATTTGTCTATAAATATTGCTTTTTGCATATATGTTTGTTTTTAAGCTGCATTTAACCATGAAGCCAATATGCATTTAACTCAAACAATAATTTGTTTTTGGCCGCAAGACTTAAATGCGATTAAAGAAATTAGTTACTTTTTACTATCAGAAAGATTCAAAGATGGTGACTTCTTAATTTAGTCAAACTAACTATATATATAGTAAAAAATAACTATTTAAAAGTGAAAACGACTATTTTATTAGTAAACAATGGTACTAATTCAAAAAGTAGGATTTTGACTATTTCATTTTAAGGGAGTAGCACGAAAATGTTAGTTATTCATCAATCTCTTTAATTCTTAAATAAGCAGAATATTACAACAAAATATTTTTGTAATAATAAAATATATTTAATAAAATAACAAAAAATAATGGTTCGTAATGGAATTGTAAAACTATATGTTGTTTTAGTCCCAGCAAGAATCCACTACGTGTCTCACACAGGACCACTGGAAGTCCTTCAAGGAGCCACTGTGAAAATGGAGTGCCGCTCTTCGGGAAATCCGGTGCCCACAGTGTCCTGGTCCCGGAAAAACAACGTTTTGCCGAGCGGCGAGCGCTCAGTGTCCGGGCAATCAATGGTCATCCAGCATGCGGACCGACATTCGGCCGGACAGTACGAGTGTGCGGCCGAAAACGGAGTCGGACAAATCGACAGCCGTCATATCACTTTGAACGTTTTATGTAAGTAAAATGATTTTTATATTTTTTTTGTATCGAGATGTTTTAGAAGATTTTTTTGTGTTGTCATTCTGCAAATTGATTTGTTTGATATTTTTGACAGTATGGATGTTTGAAAAATGTGATTTATTTGTGGGTGATTGTTAAAGTTCTATAAATATAAATTTCTTGTTTTAAAAATAGAATTTAAAGAATTATTACTGTAAAATATAAACATGGAATAAATATAATAATAATAATAAAACAATTAACGAATATTTTTTTGAAAGCACTTGTTGAATTACATAAAAATGGATACAAAAATTTAAATTTCAAAAAACAATATTTTGTAGAAAAAAACATTAAAGAATTTTATGGGCAATCGTAGGAAATACAGAAAATACAAAACATTTAGTTATAACAGAATCATGTTCTATCATATAAAATATCACCTATAAACCTATTTAAATAATATTTTTTTAAGGGAAGTTTTACAAGTTTTTAAAAATTTTATCCATTATCCCCTTAAATAAAAACACCCAGAATATTTTTTTTAATTCCACCTTTAAAACGCCCATTATCGTACATGTTTCCATGATACTAAATGACCTTTTAAATGCACATTGATAAGTTATGGCTTTATGGCATTTTAGTCACGGGCTGAACTTAATAGTTAGTTGACACTTGTTAAATGTCATACAATCATTAAAATAAAGTACCCTTCTTGTAAAATAATAATAAATGCAAATAATATTTTATTATTTCGTCAGTAAACTAGATTTAACTTAATTTCGGGTGGAAACTCGACCGTGAAGTGCCCATAAAACATGTTCTTTGCGAAAAACTGTTGTTAGTCCTCTCTATATAAATATTTAAGTATTTGTCGTAGAAAAAGTATGGTATGCAACTCGTTTATAAACTTTTCTAGACACTTATTTAATTCGTAACTAAAATGGCGTTTATCAAACTTTTAGTATTATTAATACTAAACATTTGACCAAGTAATAAATCCTAAATATTAAAAATTAATATTTAGTAACGTGTCATAATTAGTTTAAAATTGTATTACTTACATAGTGTATTTATATAAAAATATATTAAATGTGTGATTGAATAGTTTGTTTACCATACAATATTGAAAGCAACTCTCCAATATTATTTTTATTCGCGTCGTAGTTAAATTAATTATTAATCTAATGTTTTATGCACGTTTAATAAAATCAAATGTTAACCTTAAATTTAATTATTCATACCTACCATTTGTTTTTGTGATTGTTTGTGTCTGTCATACTTTTCCAATAATTTAAGGTTTTTACTTTGGCACGAAATCACCACATATATATAGGTAGAAGACACAACAACGTTTTTGTATTTTTTTTCAGTTAGTTTTGCAATTACTACTTTCTAGTCAAGGAATAGTTGCCAAACTTAACATTACTAAACAAAAAATAGCTCACTCCTAAAATATCAAAGCCGTCCCAAAGTAACAATTCCCAAAACAGTTCACTTCGTATAGCTAAATTTAGTATGGTATACATACTATTGCACTGGGTGGCTTATTTTCCTAAATATTTACTGTTTATTATATCTGTACTTTTCTCACACAGAATAGAACATCTGGATAAATAGTCAAATTAGTCAATTTTCTAAATGCATACCCAATTTGGCTAATATATTTTATGGTCAATTGATTTATAATTACATTAGAATTTAAATAGACTTAAACCTGCTCTCTTAAAATGAAATGGTCAAAATTCCACTATTTATATTAATAACAGCAATTTTCCGTTTTAAATGGTTACTTTTTACTATTTAAATAGTTTAAGTTTGACTAACTTAAGATTAGTTACTAACTTTGACTGTTTCTAAGTAAAAAGTAACTAATTTTGTTTTTAATTCTTGTGGTCATCAACAAACTATTGTGGCTTATAAAAACAGACATAAATATACAAAAAGATTACAAGTTGACAAAACTAGGACAAAATAATAAAATTTCTGATTTACCTAGGGAAATATCAATGTTTAATAAACTTTAGTTTGTCTAACCAAAAAAAGTAATATTTTCAAAAAACTTGAAATCTTATTACAAATACACTTTTTCTACGACCACTATGTAAAAGTCACATTTCGTAATGGCATTGTTGCTTAGAAAATTAATCTTTTTATTGGCAAGGCAAAACTGAAATGTAAAGGGACATTTCTGTGTGAAAAGTGACACGTCTTTGTGAAAAGTGACAGGTTTGTGTAAAAATAAATAAATTATTTTGTTTTGTCTTTGAAAATAATAAAAAATAAAAAGGTGGTAGAAAAAACATTGTATTTCACTTGCTCAAGCCCTTGTTAATGCACACACAAGTTATAAAACAAATAACTATTTTCAAAATGTTCCTGGAAGGTTAACATAAACCTTATCCATTTAAGCTTTGGAAATTTACATAAATGCATTTTAAACTTTTACATAGTTTAAAACAAGCCTGCGTAGGCTAATTTGTTTTTTTATAATAAAATTGCTTTCAATATAATTTTCTATTTTACTGCTTAAATATTCATATTAAAGTATGCATAGGTACATATTAATCTAGTCTAAATAAAAAATGCTGTTATTTGTAGTAGATATGAAATAAGTTGTCATAAAATATTGAACCAAATTGAACCGAAGGAATGACAAATTTGGCCAATAAATTTGCCTCTTAGAAACAAACCTGTGTAATGGTCCTGAACTTAGTCTGCAGCAAAACTATATAATTTGTACTCGATTTTAAGAAGCATTATGCAAAATAAATGTCATGTATTTGTAGGGTTTATTGATTTCGAATAAATCATTGGCGCAGGAACATTACCTTTATTTAATAATATTACTCTTTTAGCCAAACAGTTTTTTTTTATGAAAAGATTGATATGAATAATAAATTCTACACGAGGTCATATTTCATAATGTATGTGGATACTTTATCTTTGTTACAATTCTGTGCAAAATTAATTTTAGTGGCCAGCTTAATAAATTGCAGCTTTGGATTTAATCAAATGTTTTGTTATCAGCATTTTGTTTTATTATTGATGCGTTTTTTTGTTGTATGTAAGTCGTCTAGAAAATATTTTCTTCTTTAACAGGGATGAGTTTAAATAACTTTTTTATCCTATGTAATTCCCAAGAATTTTACATTAAATTCTCTATTGTCTCTATTAGGGTATTGTACATCTTTACTTTATTATTGTTGTTAATATTATTTTGGTTTTAGTTTTTATTTATAAATCAAGTTATTATTTGTTTTTTTAGCACCTGGAGTTAAATGGAGGCGTTTTTTAATTTTTGCTGAGACAAATTTAAGCGTTGGCATCTATTTGTCTTGGTCAAAAATCAGAAGGTTTTAAAAATGTTAAACCATTAAAAACTCAAGGTGTCATAAAAAACTTATTTATACGTCGATTTTTTTGGCCCAGTCTAATGAAAACAATTAAAGGTTTTAAAAATGTAATAAATGGTAATAAAAGTACATTGTTTTGAACTTCTCTTCCATATTTTATTTAGCTTTGAGTCCGTCCAACAAGATTTTGAAAATAACTTCATAAATTATATTTTAGGCTATAAAAACAATCCACTTGTACATTGTATTTTTTTCTCCTGTGCCTTTTATTTCTGGGAAGAGACTGGACAGAGCGGCAAAGTGGCTGTCCGATAACAAGCCGACCGCATTTACTGTGTTGTTTTGAGGCTCCTCAACAGAAGTATTTTCGAATGGCAGACACGTATTCCGATAAAGCCACTTTGTTTGTTTAGTTTTATGGAAATTTTTTCCCGATCTACTACAACGCAAATTAAATGTCATGATTTATGTCTTCAAAACGTTTTTGTTGCGATAAAGTTTGAAAGGGATCTGATGAAGTTTTATGTGGTTTATGAGGTTTTAAATTGATTAAAGTCAAACTTATAATGAACTAATAAAATTCATGAAAATTAAACAAGACCTTACCATTTTAATTAAAATATTAACTACAAAAACGAATTTAATTATATGGTTACAAGTCTCATAATATGACTGAATATTTTAATTAATTCCAAAGACCCATCAAACAAAAATTCAAGGAGGTAAAAAGGGATTCAGAAATTGTGATTACGACAAGAAGTGCATTCGATCCGCAGTAACAAAAGCCAAAATCCTTGTTCTTATTCTTGAAATTCTTTTATATAATACGTATTCCAGAATGCTGACCTATTTTTAGGAAGTTATAATGAAGTTTTAGAAAAGTTTGACGTGCCCCTCGGCTAATACCAAATTAGTGCACGGTACGTTGATTTTTTCCGTGTAATTCCTGTAATTGGCAATAATTGAAAATGTCATTACAAGATAAGAAATATAATTATTTTAAATTCAGTAAATTTTGCTGACGAAACGTCGAATTTTCGCTCTTAATCACGTTTTTTGTTATCTAGGATTTTTCTTAATTATTTCTGCATCCTAGAAATAAAGTTTTATATTTTTATTTTTTTTATGAAAATTTTATTAGTAATAGTACAAAAAGGTTTTTCATTTACAACTAATAAAATTATTTGCTTAAGAAACTGCCACTCGAAACAACTTCCATTAAAAGTTTTACCGATTGTTTTCCAATTCAGCGCGCTCTAATGATCCAGTTTGTAAACAAAGTATAAAGAGAACCGTGCAACTTTTGTACTTCATGTTCATCGATACACTTTTTTTAGCAAACGTTCAACTCAATTAGACTTTTCTTAAAGCTGCTAAAACCATTTACAAGCATTTGTACTTAATTTTATTATAATGTGAAACATTTCTTGTTTTTAAGAAAATAGAGTTAAAAAAGGAGGTTCTGGATACTTTTTTGTAAATTTAATTTGCTATTTGAGCAAACGGATGGATTTAACTATACTTGTAAAAATATTTATTTTAATTTTTTCTGCTTGTTATATAAATACCATTCACAAGGAAAAACCAAAAAGCCAAATAAAGTTTTTTCATGTGAGTTGTTGTTACTAAGATATTTGTTAGTAAAAATAAAATCAATTGAGGTCCTAACTTGAGTGGTCCTATTATTTTGTAGAAATTGACTGCTATCTTATTTTGAGATTATGAATCAAGGTTGTTGCTTTCAACTCATATGTCTACAATGTCTACAATTAATTGTTAAAATTTGAAAACTAATATCTTAAATTTTCAATATCAAATATCTTAGTATCAAAAACTCATATGAAAAAACTTCATTTGATTTTTAGATCTCTCCTTACCAACTCTTTATATTAGCGCTTTAAAAAATATATTTAACCATTTTTAATTTTAAAAATCAGTATTTTTGCTTATTTTGTACAACAAAGTGGATGTTTCTCAACGCGAATCGAATTTATATAACAAACAGGAGAAATTATTGAGTGACTTTTTTTCGAAAAATTGAATATAAATATTTTTACCTGTATAGTTTAGTCCATCCGTGGACACAAAAAGTATTAACATTTTCCTAATTAATATATTTACAAAGTATACCTAAAATAGTGTGTAGAATCTAAAAATGCAAAAAAATACAGGGTGTTCCATTGAAAATAAGAAAGTTGGTATCGTCCCACGGAAAACCAAACACCCTGTATAAATGAAAATATGATATTTTAAAAACATTTTTTACTACGTGAATATTACAAATTTTTTCTGACTCCAGTAGTTTCTGAGATAAGTATATGGGTCACCTTACGTGGACCACCCTCGGTATACATGATTATGTTTTTGTTTGGGGAGTGCAAACCTAAAAAATATGTCTTAATTCTTCAATAATAAGAGAATATTGCAAAATTTGGTAATTTAGTCCAGGCTACTTATACATATACATATAGGAATTTGTACAAGGCTTTTGAGTGTCATATACCTTTTAGTCCTTTAATGCGATATAACAATTATTGAAATCTCGAATATATCGGAAACGGTTTATTTTATCGAAGTTTGAGAAGTACACCTTTATACTAGTAGCCCAACTGAGTAATCGAAGAATTGCATCAAATGGTATAAAAACCTAACCTTAAAGTTTGTATGGGACAATAAGCTTAAGCAACCCCTGTTTCTACTATACTGTGTTCACTCGAACAATTGTAATTATGTGTGAATATGTGTTTTGGTAGTAAGTGACTGTTCGCAAAATATCACCTTTTTAAGTCTACCATAGTAGAAGTTACATTAAAAAAACTGATATGATAAGTCACACTTTATCACATTGTATCTTTTAAACATACGTAATTAGGAATAATATTTATTTAGATTTTTGTCTTATTTTGACTTTCTTTATCTGCTCCTAAATTTATGCCACTAAGTTTAAGGACACCTTGTATAACTATTATATGCTTGATAAAAAATGGGGTATGGTGAATATAACATCTAATTTGCTATCCCAATTTCTATTACGCTATAACTTTTTCAGTTGTAAGAATTTCTTTAAGAGTTAATCGTTATAATGTACATTATAATGTTGATTTATTTATACCCAAAATGTATTCTGTCTCTGTAAGAGTCTCAACTTACTCTATATAAGTTTGATAACAATAACCTATAATTATAGGTTATTGTTATCAAACTTATAATTATAATGAATGGTAACTTTAAATATTGATATTACACTTTCAAGAATGTAAACTTTATATATATTTTTCCATCTTAAAATTTTAATTTAAGCTATATATATTTGTCCAAAAAATATAAATATAGTAAATATCTTATCAACAAAAAAAATTAATTTATGTAGGTGAAATGGATATTACTTAAAATAAAACATTGCATAAATATAAATTCATTTTACCTTTTGCGTTAGCTGTTCATAATAGTATATTATGTATTAAGTTTCATAAACGCCATTTTATGCATGAGTTTTATTAGGCACGAGCGAAGCTTGCGAGCGAGTGTTTAATAAAATCGAGTGTCTTGAGATGTTTATAAAACGAGTTGCATACTATACTTTATCTACGACGAACAGAAATGAGAATTTAAAGCCAATTTTAATTTATAAATATTTGACATTTGACAAATTTAACCTCACTTAAAACTTCTCATCAAAATCGCTCAATAACTTCGTTATAAGCTGTCAGTTTTTAAGTGAAATACTGGCTTGTTGTTTAAACTACCTAGCTAATTGGTAGTGGACTTAATCACCCCTAACTTCCATCCATGTTTACCGAAACATCCTGTTTGTGTGTTTAATTATTAAAATTCAAAATACTTTGAGTTGGTGCTCTTGTTGTTTCAGATGGACCTGAAGTGGAGACCGAAAGGGCTACCGTGCACACGGGAATCGGTTTGGAAGCTCAATTGGTCTGCATTGTGCATGCTGAACCCTCTCCTCAGGTATGTACACTTGTCAATTATTAATCATACTTTATACATGTTTGGGGTGTTTTTCACTACATACGCCTTGTTGGCGGTGTGTATGCGCCGTTTTGCATTTCAAAATAACGAGTCCTGTTAAGCTAACGAAAATGTCAAATATAGTTTACCCCCTGTTCAGAGAAAGTGTGTCAAGATTCCTTATACAAAATGCATTGAAAATATCAAGATGTAGCAAGGTTAGCAAGTCAGAAAAAAAAAAGAACAAACTATCAATAGTTTAATTTTATTTGTTTTAAAACCTTAAAAATAACTAAGAATAAATAATAGGTTAAAAATAAAATTATTATATTTACAGACTTGACATGATTTTATTCATTTTCTTACTTTTTAATAAAAAACAATACACTTTAGGAAACGAAAATTACATATGACATCAGCGCGCTCGGCGCTGCAGTTAAAACATATTCTTTATAATCTGTGTCAAGTAGTATCTTAAAAACAGACATAAAATTATGAAGCGAGATACCTAAATTCTCACTTTCCACTACTCTTAGGTGCGACAGTAGGTGGGATTTATGTAAGGTTAAATACTATTCGGTTTAATACACACTGCATATACCGCATTTTTATTTAAAATATATACACTCGAGTGAACCCGGATGAACCCGATCGCCCCTCCCCAGATGCCCCTCCACAAATGCATTGTAAACGGATTGCCGTAAGCGACGATTCAGTTATATTTTGCATTTGCTAGTGTGTATTTCAATTGATGCTCTAGGACAATCTAAAAAGTATTTAAAAAATAAAAACCGTTATGTTTTTTGATTAAAATATAGGGTATTTCTATTGTAACGGGTGCGACACTAAAACTGCGTTTTTATGATAATAAAGGGTTTGTTCATATATATCAAGATACGTTAATATAAAAAATAGTATGAAAAATAAGGTATTTAACTCAAACAAAATGTCAATAAAAACTTGAAAAGAATAGTATATTCTGTAACAAGTTTGGAATACAGCATATTCCGCTCGAGTGAAAAGTTTATCACACGAGCCGAAGGCAAGTTTGACGGTTTCACGAGAGCGGAATATGCAATTCCAAACGTGTTTCAGACTATACTTTTTCTACGTTTCCAAAAAATACCATAGACAAATAATTTAATTTGAAGGAAGTGAGGTTGGATCGGTCTAAAATTTGTTAAATATTAAAAACAGAGATGTCGCCACGAGTGTATATTCTGTCATCAAATGATAAAATATTTCATTCTGTAACACTTTACGGAATAAATGTCATTACATAGATGAAAGTAATATTAGAACGGTCATATTCCATAATAGGAGTAGAAAAAACCTTTTATAACGTCATGAATAGCGTAACGGGCGCGACCTTAGAAAATCGGCAAGTGCGACCAAGTTGGCTTCTAAAGTTTATACTGTAAAATTTTGGATGAAAGCATATAGTAATATTTTTTTGTGTAAAACTTGAATACTAACCTTAAATAAGCAAGTATTTTAAATGCACAAAAATTGCATACTTTATTTTTAAAAATTTTATTAAAATGTAACGGGTGCGACATTGAACATTTTATCGAGGACTGAAACTCTGTTTATTCTTAATGTTAGTTTCTTAGCATCCCAGTTGTTATTTCGTTAAATAACACATCTGATTTTTTGTCAAGGTGGGGTAAGGTTTAGTGGAAATACCCAATAGTTAATTATATAATAAAGTAAAAAATAAAAAAATTCACATTTTTTTGCAATAAAAAATTATTGGGTTATTCCGAAATTGACGCTCTATGAATATCTAAAAACGCATTTAAGAATTAAAAACCTTGTTTTTTTATTGAAATATAGTTAATAATGCGTAATAATCTTTATATAATACAGTAAAGAAAAAAAAATGAATATTAATTTTTAATAAAAAAGTTTGGAAATTATTTCTGCAAAACAGTGTTTTATTATAGTCTAAAAACTCATTTCAAAAATAAAAACATTTAAAATTTTCGATTAAAATATAGTTAATTATACGTAATAACTTCCATTTCTAATAAAAAAATTATTGAATTTTTTCCGCAAAATGCTGCTTTTGGACCATAGTGCGACGCAGGCATGTGCGCGGACCTTTTCTGGTTTATCTTTTGTAAAGCCAAATTTTGGTTTATCCGCAAGAAAAGTTTTACTTCAAGAAAAAGTCAAACAATTTTAAAAGAATTCTAAAAATGTTCCGTCCCAAGTACTAATTTCATTAAAATCCGTTTGAACGTTTAATACTTTAAAAAATGGCGAATGCGCCGGGATTAAAATTAAATTTCTCTACGACTACTTAAGAATAGTAACATTCTAGTGTAATTTTTGATCATAGAAAGGATGTTTTTCTGCAATACTGTGCGAGAATATTCCTACTCTTGGTTAAGAATGGTCACAAGTAACGACATCTCCTGACTGTTTACTAAACGTAAAAAATTTAAAAATATTTAAATATTACTGTATTATTTATTAATTAAAAAATAATAGCAGTTGTATAATTAAGGTTTAGGCACAACAAATTGGTTATATTTATTGTTTTTCAAATATACAAATCAAAATTATAATAAATTTGATATTAAAATGATAAACCAGTTACCTACTATACCGGCTTTGAAGTTTTGACAGATTCAAAAAGTTTAAAAAAAGACTTTTAAAATGTAGAAAAAGAATAGATGTTGACATAGATAAATAAATAAATAAAATAAAATAAAATACTTTATTTTCATCCCAAGAAACATACAGTTTATAGAGGGACACCTCTAATCATGATTAGAGGTGTCCCTCGAGGGATCTATAAACTGTATGTTTCTTGGGATGAAAATAAAGTATTTTATTTTATTTTATTTATTTATTTATCTATGTCAACATCTATATACAATTACTTGTAAAATTAGTTTTGTATTTGTTACAATGTTATTTTTTTTATTAGTTAGTGTAAATAACTATTTTTAATTATAATAAAGATTTAGGCATACCATTTGTTTAAATTTATTATAATTTACATTATAAAATTGTGACGGCACAAAATGGTTTGACAGTACAAAAACTTAAATGTCAAAAACTGCTTGGTTTCTTTTCTCTGTTTAAAATTATATAAGCGTTACTATTCTTACGTAGTCGTAGAGAAAATAATGTCTGAAACACGTTTGGAATAGCATATTCCACTCTCGTAAAACCGTCACACTCGCCTTCGGCTCGTGTGTCAAATTTTTCCTCGAGCGGAATATGCTGTATTCCAAACTTGTTACAGAATGTACTATTTGATGTCCCAAGCTTGGGGATAGAATTTCTAAAAATTATTTTATGGCGATTATCCATCCATCCATCATTATAGAGATGCACTGTAGGGTTTCCGTTATTTACCAAGTTGTTTTTTTTTCAACAGCGTTAGTTTATACCCTAAAAAAATATAAAACAAAAAAAAATTCCCAATATTAATTAAAAGCACTATACATTTCTCCTTTAAATAACATGTAATATTTTACTTTTTACAATTTACAATAAATACCTTTAAAAGTCATAGTCCTAAACTAAGTACACTAATTTGAAATTAAGATTATTTTTTACAAAAACACCAAATTTATGAAAACTTCGAATTTTCAATACACTTGCGCAGACTCCAAATAAATTTTTTCAATTTAAGATTTTGCAGGATTGTTCCTGACACCCCTTCGCCGAAGCTAAAAATCGATCCTTTTCGGACTACCCCACTTTTACTATGAATAAGAAATTTTATCGTAAATGGGTAAAAAAGAGCGTTTGATTTTCTACCAAAAATATGTACTGAATATTGTTGCATACTTTCCCATTCAAAAGCAAAAAATTAAATGTATAAAAAATACCATGTTATTAAAAGGGAAACTTTATCGTGTTTTCGGCAAGGTTTAATATAAATATTAAAAACTTTTTTGTCATTATTTATGATATGAACTAAAAATAATGCACTGACCCATAAAATTTCAGAAGAGACAAACAACTTTTTTAAACAATAATAATCTACATTAATGATTAATGCAGGTAATTATTATTGAAACAAGTTTTCTGTCTCTTATAAACTTTTATGAACAATTATAATTGTAGCTGACATTTATTATTCAAAGAGGATTTAACAAGTTATGGTAAAAAAGGGGTATATTATTTTTTGGAACAAGCTTTACTTTGATTAAACCCAAACAGAATTTTAAATTAAAAAGGGGTGGAGAAGGATATTTTTAAAGTAATTGAGAATAATATTAAATAAAAACAACAATTTATGTTTTTCAATAAAACGATAAAAAAATGCCAGTAAAAAATTCACTTTTTGCCTAAACAAAGACGGGCGACTTATTAATCCATTGTAGTTAAAATGAATATTTATTTTAAATTAAATGGCTTGAAATTTATTGTTTTCCCAACAAATTAGTTTTTATTCTTCTCCCTTTTACAATAATTTGTCAAAACAAAGAATAATTTCGGTTCTAGCGTTGTTTTTTCTTTGGATTTTTTTATCAGGGCTTTAGTTTCAGTATTAAGATGTTAGTGTCTTGTCCTAAAGTAGAACTTGTTTTAAAGTGAAACTATGAATAGTTGAAACTTTGCAAACTTCCCTTATTAAGGTTAAATTGTTTAAGGTCTTCACTAATGACAATTTTCATTATTTCAGCAAAAAACAATATCTGTATTATAAATAACGAGTTAAGCTTTTATAAACTCCCATTTTTAAGACTGAAAATTTAGATGAAAAATTTACTAAACAAGATTACAATTATTTTAAAATTTCCGTTTTTGATTTTTTATTACAATGAATATTTCACTTATGTATTGTTTTAATAAATTAAACAGTCAAAATTACCAACCTCGTTGCTAAGATAACGGTTTGTTTGTATTGTAACTCAAAACCGTCAAAACCAGTTTTTTTACACAAAACTCGTTAAAATAAATTGTTTTGGTGACATTCTAGAAATAGAAACGATAAAAAGTAAACATAATTTTTATCATTGCAATTTAGCTCGTTCATTTTGTCTCAACAAATTTACCATTTTTTGTATTTTTAGTAAGTATTTTCACTCGAAAAATTTATTCTGCCTAAATACCGCTTGTGCCCAAAAATAAACCAGATAATTTTCATTTAGTGAAATCGTGAAATTATTAACAATGTTGCTTTCATGAAAATTATGGCACTAAGCACCCCCGAATATTTTTAGATATAAAATCATAAAACCAAAAAATATTTAAAAGTAATAAATACACTGTGTCTTTGACATGTTCTAACTTGTCAAAGACAGGTGTTTAATTAAAATCAGGGTGGAAAAAGGAGGTGATTCAACTCCGTCGTTGAAGGTGGCCAGTTAAGTCAGTATTTGTTAAAATCCAAATAGAAGGCGCCAAAAATAAGAACCTATTTATTTTTTTAAATCGCCTTTAAAACACGTTAAAAATTTTTATAATGGTATCTCAAATACATAATTATATTATTATAAAGTTATTTAAAAAATATATTAAACAATTAATAAAATTATCTATATTTTTATACATAACCTTTATAATCTGTGACCTTCTTTATCTTCTTTATCTTTATCTCTTACTTTTCATGTCAGATGCACTAAAATGTCGTTCACACACATTTGACTTTACCGTTAATTGGCAGTTTAAAATTTCTAACCATTTTTGTCTATATTGTACAATGTACCATTTTTGTCTATATTGTACAATGTACAATATACATTTTTGGGCACTTAGAAAATACTTATTTTCACTTTATGATTGGTAACATTGCATCCCGGAACACAACAAACTTTTCTCATCATAAAAAATAATTTATTATATTGATCAGGGTATTGATTAACCTCAAAACACAAACACATTGACATTAAAAAAAGCGTCACTAATCTTGCGCGCCATCTAACGCTCAACGAACGAAGTACTGACTTATGTGGACACTAGAGGCTAAATGTAGCAAAGCATTCTTCAAGGTTATGGCGATTAGCTGTCATTTTGGTTATGCAGGTACACTGCATTGTGCCATACTAAACTAACCCAAACTTAACAACCCAACCCAACCGACCCCGCCCCATTGGACCACTTCACATAATAGTTTAAATGTACCAAAATATAGGTTATGTTTTGATACTATTATGTGAAGGGGCCCAATGGGGCGGGGTCGGTTGTCATAACCTTGAGGAATACTTTGCTACATTTAGCCTCTAGTATGTGGACGCTGCTTCTGTACTTTAGAGATAGAAGCTATATCACCTCCTTATTCAACCCTGGTTAAAATAGTCAGGAAAGGTATTGTTTAAGTATTTTTAAGCATTTTTATTTAAAAAAATTTAAATATAAATTTGTTTAATTTTTATAAATTTTATTATTAATTTTTATGAAATTTTTCGGTAGTAACAAATGAGAGTTCTATACCATTATTTTTTATTTAATTTTTAAATTAAATAAAAATAAATAATAAATATCAATATTTTATTTACTTATTTAAAAATAATACATTTAGAAATTAAAATGTACTATTTTTAAATAAGTAAATAACATTATTAATCTTTATTATTAATTTTTATTTAATTTAATAGTTAAATAAAAATTAATGGTTTAGAACTCTCATTTCGTACTACCGAGAAATTTCATGAAAATTAATAATAATATATACCATAAAACATAAATAGAATAATGGATATATTTTTATTATTTTATGTTTAAAATTAGTTTGGTTTGGTAATAAAATAGTCAGTCTTAAAGAATTTAATTAAATTTGACCTTGAAGAGTTGTACAGAACCCTTACTTTTTTACTACCAAGTATTTTTATCTTTACTAATTATATTTGCGATACAACCTGAAAGAAAAACATATTAATTAAGTTAAAGTGTTTTCTTAGAGCTGGGAAACGAAGGTTACGCGTAGCTACGGTCCGTTGGTTTGCCGCATTAGACAGGTTATAAATCAGGATGTTTGCCGAAATCATTAGCCCGTAAAATTTCTTTGCAGGTGCTTTGTTGGAGTGCCTCGCTGCCAGCTCTCTCTCGGTCTGCTTGCTTGTGTTTCTTTTTCTTCGAGACCAAGTTTTCTTAGGTCAAAAGTAGCCTAATCTCGTTATTTCCTTCCTCGTTACATTACTTCACTTAGTCGAGAGGCGTTTGTATAAAGCGAACATTGTTTTATTGTTTCAGGTGCTCTGGTTTAAAGACACGGCCCAGTTGGGAACTACCGAGCAACATGCCGCTCACGCCAGAGGCAACAGATACACTTTGGTCATCAGGAACGTTTCTACTGCTGATTTTGGAAACTACAGGTAATTTTTTTGCAAGAATATAATTATTATTAGTATGTATGTTAAATACTAAGGGTAGAAAAAGATCCATTCCAAGGTAAAACATTTAACATTCTAATCAAAGCATTAAGCTTTAAAAAAATATAGTTTATTATACAGGGTGTCCCAAAAGTCAACGATATACTTTGGAGGACTGATAGGTCAGCTCATGACTAATCAGAATATATTCAAATATATTCAAATATATATATCAAAACAGGACCTTAGTAAAAAATCATTAGTTTTTGGGATATTGTCATTTTTATGAATTTTGTGAAACCTGACACATAAAATCAGTTTTTCGAGTGCCACAACTACAACATTCTATATTCTTAGATTATATTTTATTTTGCGTAACCCTGAATATAACTGCTATTAACTACAATTCAAAATTAAATTAATAGTAGATTTTGTAGCTGTGGCACTCGAAAAACTGATCTAAGGAGCCAAGTTTTACAAAATTCATAAAAATGACTATATCTAAAAAAGTAACGATTTTTTACTAAGGTCATATTTTGATTTTCTGCTTAGTCATGAGTTGGTCTATCAGTTCTCCAAAGGATATCGTTGACTTTTGGGACCCTGGTATACAATAAAAGAATATTGCATAAAATTACTTTAGAAAAGCTCAAAAGTGTAGTCGCACGCAGTATACAACTTTGGAATAAGGTTGTTTACAAGCCAGGTATGAGATAACCCCCACTAGCAGAAAAATTGTACAAGAAAATGAGGATAAAATTGCAGGTAAAATCTTGAAACGGTTTTTGTTTACAAGCATATTATTAGTTTTCTCTTACCTGCCCCTGAAAAAAATCCTGGCTATAGCCTTTGGTTATTTATGACTACGCCCTTGGTTATTTATGGAATTTAATATAAAGCAGCAAACAGTTTGTTGATGTGCATAAAGGCAATATTTAACCTATTTATCTAGTAAACTTTAAAAAAATCAACTTTACTTTACAATAAAGTTATATTAAGAATCTTTTTGTAAGTTATAAAAGTTTACAGGAATATTTCGAGACAATTATGTTTAAAAGCTAAAGATAAATAGGTTAAATATTGTCTATAAAACTGAAACATTGCATGTGATAAAATGATAAAACACCTTTTAAATTTTAACCTAAGTAGTTTTCGGCGAAAAGTGCACCTTATTCAATTTCTTAAAAACTGTGACCTTACAAACAAAACTGTCATTGCTAATAACCCTTCCTGAAGAATGCAAAAAATAAAAAATTATGAAATTACTTTTTGAAAGACCATACTATTTTGAATAATTTACTGAATCTATTAATAGATCGTTAAGTTGTGTTTACTGGTTGCTAGGAAAGTGCGTCGGTAAATTTACTTACCTATAGGTATACGCATTATCTGATTGCTAAGTAAATAAAGTATAATTTGTACTAAAGGTTCGCATTTTCTTTAGATATTTACATTAAAAATAACTACAATACAACAATTTTACATTTCTTTGGAAAAATATGACAACTTATTCGTTCTTTTTCCTGCTTTTCTCAAACCACTTCTAGAAAGTTGTGTACGTTTTTTCATGGGTATGTTTTGAAAAATAACTACAAACAAATTCATAACAACAAATTGAAAACACAAAAATTAAAATACATTTTTTATTAAATGCTTATAATAGTCTTACAGTCTTACCATAAGCATCTCGAACAATAAGGAGTTTTTGATACTTAATATATTTAATATGCACAGAATTCCTTTAACAATTTTGTTCTTTAATGATAATTTACTTGTTTTAAAAATATATTTATTAATAATTAAAATTTTTTAATTTTTAGTTTTGTTCACTAGGATTAAATTATGGAGTTTCAATATCTCTCGACTCGCCCATGATTTAAACCTATTTTGATCTACAAAGTATTACTCTCTAGAGAGTTAAACCGCTTGGTTGGGATTTCGATATTTTAAAGATTTAATACCTGCAGTAGAAAATACTTCCGCTCTTTTGGAGATTTAATCCCTAAAAGATTTATATCTTTATATTTATAAATACAGTTTAACTGTTTTTGAAATTCTTTTGTGGTAATTATATTATTACTTCTATAAGATCTAATTCTTGATTATAATTGAATCACTAGATAAATTAAAGTTCCTATACCTCACGTGGTTTAACTCTCGAGCAGAGCGAAAGTATGTTAAAGCCCATTATCCATCGATGCAACCTCTATCGGAGGGCTTATTACTCTATTTTAGATGTAATAAACAGTTTTATTCCTAGTTCCTGGTTTTGTTTCATTATTTTTATTGAAAAAACTGTTTCTTTACAGATTACACTTTGATAGTTTTAGAAACTTTTGTTCCTAACACTGAGTACTCCAGCTTAGTTTAACTAATTTTGGGCCGCTGATTTTAAAAATGTCATTTGTCTAGGGTTTAAAATAATTTCGTAATAAAATGCTTTGCTCAATCACCTCAAAATGTAAGTTTTTTTGTTATTTTAATTATTTATTAAATTATTTTGGCTTAAATTTATCCTGAATGTACTGAAGTAATTGGTATACGGCAAATATATCATATTTATCTTAAAAATATGACATTTTAAATACTAAAACTAAAATTTTAATGTATTTTATGTAAAAAAATGGAGATTTTTTGTCGTTTATTTTAATTATTGAATTGAAAGGGCAACAAAGTAAACAAGTTTCGGTATTTTTTATCCAAATTAAGCACACAAAATTTAATGCATTGCATAATTTTGGTTTTTTCTACCTTAAATTTATCAAATTAAATTATTTTATTATTGTGCAAATTCCAGCAAATGTCTCCTAGCAATGCTCTAGATTTGCAGTTACTTGGCGAAATCGTTCTCCATGTTCATCAGTTCGGCAAATTTATCAGGATGAAAAAAAAAGAAAATGTATTTTAAATGACATATTACCGCTAATTCTTTACAGAACGGAGAGCATTTTTTTAATGAATTGGCGCCAATTTTAGGCCCGATATGAACTAAGAACATTTTCAATGACAGCTTTTACACTGCCATATGCGAAAAGCTCGTCCTTTGAGAGCATTTTTGAATGCTTGATCTTTCATTAAACGTCGTAAAATTTAATAATCCTGCAAAATTAAAGTATTGGTATATCTCATAAAATTTTGTAATGAAATATTGCGTTGGTTTTTCTTGGGCGTAAAGGTACCGCAACAAAAATAAAAGCAAATTTACAACGACGACATAAAGGTTCGTCTCCTTTCTCTTTCTCTGCCACCTCCATTACCACTTCCATTTCCTGCTCTTTTTTAATTTTTGGTTCTTAAAATCACTTTCAAGTAAAAATACAATTTAAAGTTTAAATTTTAAATGCCAAAAATTATTTGATGCGCCTTTATACTTCAATTCGATATTAAATTTTAATAAAACTTGGTAAATAAGATTGAAGATTGAATTTTTGGGTACTTTAGGCATAATGTGAATAAAAAAATATCAAATAATAGTCGAAGAGTAATGTTTATACTGAAACCCATTTACTTTGTTGCATTTTCAATTTAATTGGTAATTAGGAAAACGACACAAAAATTTCAAAAAATAATACTTTTTAACAAAAAAAAACGTTATAATTGTAGTTTTGGTATTTAATAAAATACTTTCTGCTATTCCTTATACACTTTAGTATACGGCTACAATTAAACCAAAAATTTCTATTTAACATTTATTTACCGATGACAAAAAACGTCAAAAATATACTGAACATCCAAAATAGATTTAAGGCAAAATAATTTAATAAATAATCAAAATATTAACGAAAAACTTACATTTTGAGATAATTGGGCGGAGCATTTTATTACTCAATTATTTCGAATCCTAGACGTCCTGGAGCAAAACGAGTGGCATTTTTTAAATCAGCAGCCCAAAATTAGGTAATTTTTGTTGTTTACAATTTTTGTGCTTTGGGTTTGTGCTCTGTTAATACAGATTAATAATCGTTTTAAACGTTGTGTTTCTCATATTCTCTATTGTAAAAAATAAACTTTATTCTATCAGGGCTGTCATAAAACTGTCAAATGTCAATTTTAAGGTTAAATTATAACCCACAAATTAACCTTCAAATTTGACAGCCCTTATAGAATAAGGTATATTTATTATAAAAGAGGAGTAAAATGGTTGTCCTTAGCACTTAAAGGCCTTATTTGAGGCTTACAAGTGCCTCTGTAAGAAACACACCGTTTAAAACAATTATTAAACAGCACAAACCCAAAGCACAAGAATTGTAAACAACAAAAAATGGCCGCCGTTAAACTCAGTGAAGTGTTGCAGTGATTTTTAGCATGAGATAGAACAGACCTTGTTGTGTGGATTGTGGGTGGGCGTACTCAATGTTAGTAATTCGATCTATCATAGTGTTATTTATTTCACTTTAAAATTGTATTGAAATTTTAATAAGTACCTATACAATTAAAAAACTTTACCAATATAAAAACATAAAATAGTCTTAAGATTAATCCATAAATAACTCGACAACTGTAATACCAAAATAATCGCAAAGCATATTGGTTTAGTTTGTCGCGTAGTAAAAGGACTTAACCTCAATCTGGCCGAACTCACGTAAAGAGTCGCTGTCTTGTTCGTTCGGTGATAAAAACAAGGAAACTTAGTCCCTTCCCGAGTCTTAAACCGGGCTAACTAGATTACGTTAAACCAGATGGTTTCGGTCATTTTCCGTCCAAACAGGGCCATAAACCAAGTACGCCACGGACTGTTCTCATTACCGCTTGACGCTCCAGAGCAAAAAGGATACAAATGGCGGATAATTACGGGCGATAATCTGCTTTATTGGTCTAATATATTGTGCGGATTTGCATAACGTTTCGCCAAAAACAAACTATTCCCTAGTAATGATACGCCTGATCCGACCTTATTGTGCTCTACGAATATATTGCGTTTTAAAGCACCCTCTTTAAAAAATACATTTGAGCTACTTGAAATAATTAAATTACTGAAAGGTTACAGTGATTAACCTAATAAA